AATTTCATTAATTTCGTATGGAAATTATTACGTAGAATTGTGCGAGAGAATTTTTGTATACTACCACCGAATAGCGTATGGGGACGTAATTTTGTAGGGTTAAAAAGATCTTAAATAACGCAACGTCTTTTTAGAATGAGCACGATCGATTTCATTAGATCCGTAATGTATTTTATCACTAAACTTTAAGTACGATGATAATGCGTATTCTGAGAGTTGTGAAATTTCTAATTTGAGAAATTTTAATTGTCAAAATCTTCTCGAGTAAACATTTCTCTCGTAATATTCTGCTGTGTGAAATTACAGGAGGCGATGACAATTTGAGAAACTTACTTGACAGAAATCAAATGTTTGCAGAATTCAAGACTAGCAGATGGACTAGGTATACGTAACTATCTATTCATTCCCGGTAGATCCTCTCTTATCATTTGCTCCAAGACGTCGAGTAAAAGCCTTCGACTGACAAAGGACCGAGCGGATTGTACTCGAGTTGCAAACATTGAGCAGCATCAAGATTCGCTCGTTTCCAATTTAGTGAAAATTTTCGAATTTGCAACCGGTACGTTTCGTGTTCAAGTGTACAAGTAATTGGAAATTCCTCGAAAACGTCGGTATAATTTTCATTTTATCGAAGGACAAGTACCTCAAGAAACGAGTAAATTTTATCCGTTAATGAATACCCCAGACAGCGTATACCCAGTTGACGAAAGAAAATCTTACAATTCCAGTTTAAATAAAATTTCGAAATTCGCGTCCGATTGCATAACCGTGATAAAATGTCTGAATTGATGTTTACGATTTAAATGGAAAAATCGCTCGTAACGGCAATTGAAAACAATATCCAATTATACGTAAGTCCAGCGCGATGCGTATAAAGCGAAGAAAAATAATATCTATAAAAACAGTCTGTATTAAAATTCAGTGTGCGACGCGTAGGAAATCTAGTGCGACGTCGCGACGCCGATGGGGAGCTATCGAATAGGGTGATGCTATCCGGGTAAAAGGGAACGTGGCGGAAGAAGGGTAGACAAGAGGGACTAGAAGAGACAGTGCCGAAGCGAATAGGTAGCGGGGGGTGCCGAAATAATTGAAAATTCCAACATGCCACAGCGTTTTAGTCTGACACTTCTGGAAAATAGTGTTCAGTAATTTTCCTGGGATATTCAGATTGCCGTAGCGCGCCCGGAGTTTTCCGCGAGATTGCCCGTGAAATTCTAAAAGGCTGTGTCGCTCGCACGTTTTATCCTCCTGAATCTCGATAGATTTTGAAAAAGACGCGGTGACGTCATGCTGATCAATTGATCCGCGAATTCCTATGAGCCTTCTCCAGGTCCATCAACGTGACATAGCATCATTACCTATAAAACTAACATGGCTGTCGGATACAAATAAAGAATAAACAAATTGAACCAAACCGAATCGCACGTAAAATTTCCGACTGTACAACGAATTGTTAAATACAGTGATTCCATCAAACGAAAACTTCATTCGATCTCTGTTAACAATTTCATTAGTAAATCCAGTTACCACGTGAAAATATATATCTCACTGTAACGTAACAACAATTCCTCATTAACGAGTATACTGTTTATAGTATAATAAAAGCTACGGTAAACCGTGCTACTTCCATGCGATGCAAATTACCATTGTTACGTTTATACACAGCAGCATTAACAAAAGAGAAGTACAATAGGCTGAGCACGTGTGATGGTAAAGTACACTAATAACGTAAATAGGGAAGGGTTAAACAGAAATAGTTGTAGGAAAAATTGTATCGCCCAGTGAAGTAAGGGTTGATACATTGTTGACTAGATGGCCACGTAGATGACGTGTACATTTGGGAGGTTGCTAACTCGAACATCGGCATTGTCCAGCCCCGTATTAATCTCCATTATGAAGTCATTATTCATTCGCTTAACCTTTCCTTCTCACCGAATCATAACTCAAACTCTTGGCATTTATTCGCTATAATGCATTCATGGCTCACGGTGGCTGCCTGTTTTCCACTTGCACGGGGGTAATGGCGCGCACGGGGCTCTCTTCTCCTTTTCGTCTTGAACCTGGTCCAGACCCATTCCATTCCATCCGAGGTACCTCAACTAACCCCACCACCTTACTATAATTGGGTGGAAAGCTGCTAACAATAGAGCTCCTCGCGCGAGTCTTTTCCAAAGCTTTCGATCCTTGCTTCCATTTCGGAGAGACACAGGAGGCTGAACGCGGACGTATAACGGGAGTCGGTGAAATTCAAGAAAATTAAAGGGTACGTATGGAGTCTAGGTCGGATGGGGAAGAGCAAAGGAAAATTTTCATCGTGTAAAATAAAAAAGGAAATTTCCCTACGGTAGTAAACGAGAACAAAGGATAGCGGGAGTCTTCTTTATTTTATTATTCCTCAAAGATCGTCACAGCTAGACAAAGGAGTTCTGAATTCTCCAAAGAGAATATATATATATATATATATGAAGAAGTTTGTACAACAGTCAATAGTATCGTTCGCCTCTCTTCAACGCCCCGCAGTACGTAAGATTAAAGAATATTGGAATAGAGACAGCAGCGCCTCTGGTGGTAGCGGTTTGCCGAAGGATTCGCTACGAAATCGTGGGGATTTCACTCGGTTACGGTAGCGTCTCTATTTTTCAACGTCTGAGCCGGTGAGAGGACGCCGCTAGGATAGCTGGCTGAAGGAACGGAGCAAAGTGTGATTGCTGTCTCTCAATTTATCATTCTGTCGATGGGCTCCCAAGTTTCACCCTACTTGCCCCCTCGCATCCATATAACCACCATACTCAGGTATCTACTATCTACTCGCTGCACCCTTGCAGTATACACAGGGATACTGAATCCTCCACTATTTCTATTTACCCCTTTACCAAAAGCTCTTTTCATTTTTCTTTCAACTCCGCCAATCGTATTTCAAGCTCATATATTCACCAGAGTTCTCGACTCCTGGTGCACTAATATTTTTACCTTGTGGACCCCCTTCCGATATCATATAGACATCGAGCTATGACGTACTATGGAATAACTAGATGCGTCCCCGTCCATAGAACGCGTTGCGAACCGAACGTAAGAGGATAAGAGAAAAATAGTATGTATCGATTCGGAGACAACGTTCTATATATACGTATATGTATATAGATTGAGGTTGGTGGAAGGCCATCTTTGAACCAGTCACAGAGTACTTTTTTAGTCTCAGAAAAGATCTCGAACGTTCCACTTTTATTGTTACCGAGATGCACGTAACCTCATACATATTCCACATATGACTTTGTCTTTCTTGTATTGTCTAAAGTTTCCTTGGCGACTATTACCAAGAATATTGGCAAACTTTGGTACATACTAAAATCCTATAATACGCTCCGGGAACATTATTAATATTCGACAAGAGTGCTCGTTCCTACGAGTCTTTAATTCTCCTCCAGAAACAATTCGACTGGTTCGACGTTCTCGTTAATATTGTAACGTAGCAAAGCTGGGTATTACGTTTGATCCTGGGAAAACGTATATGTATATACGTATACACGTTATAACCATTTGTAATATACAGACGGAAGGATAAAACGGAAACATCGATCGAAAGCCTTTAACATGGGGAAGTGTAACAATGATTTTTTTTTAACAGTTGTTTCCCTTCGATATCCGGTATGGCGTTATTCGCTTCGTGGTTTTGACCATACGCACAGTACGAAGCCCGGGGTCCACTTTACAGTGACACGTCGTTGACAAGACCCCGTCAACGAAATGGAACTGCCACTGGTCGAAATTGCACGAGCTGAATTTGAGCAGCAGCCAATATTACGAAGCTTTGTGTACTGCATAGAATAAATACCTATGTACTAGCTGCTGTGGTGTATATGTATAGTGTGTTTGTATATATATATATGTATACACAGAACATACGATAAGCCGCTTGATTGTGAGGTCTGTATCGAAGCTGCAATGGTTCTATGCACGTGTTGCAATAGCAGCAATGTACCACCTGCTTCAGTGTTATAAGCCCCCCTTCTTTCCTTCTCACTTTCTCTCTTCTCTTTATGTCTCTGTTTCGCTACTTTATTACTTACAATTATATTTTCACTACTTTTCGAATTCGCATGTGTCAACTTTACTCCGTTTAAGCTACTCACTTTGATAATGTGTATACGCGTATCTTATGTGGATGTACACTGCTACCTTTGATTTTCTCGCGTTATCATATTCAACCTTGGTATTTCCACTCTCTCTGTGACGTCGATGTCTGGCTGACGTTACTTCCGCAAATTACGCACCTGACTTCCGTCCAATTACAAGGTAAATCCTGTCGTAACGTCAAACGGCTTTACGGTAAAGATTACTAATTCTAGAATTCTGCTTTCTGAATTTAGCTTAATAATATATTTATGACGATGTGCAGTGGTTAGTTAATGCACGCGATTAATGTTTTAGGGTGAGATATATGAATTAGCTGGTTATTGGCACTGTGAATTTTAATGGCACGGTGGTCTAATGTACTTTGTGGGTATGGTATTGGAGTACTTTTATTGTGGGTATTATCACTGACTACGTCCATATTCTCAGGTGGGAAGAGAAACACATTTTAATTGTATTTCAAAGTTCTGATATTTTCGATATTAGCGTTCTTTTATGCTCTTTTAATACGTTTCGTTTGCGAAAGCGAATCGAACGAGATGTTTGCATAATATTTGCATGGAATTCTTTTAATTTCTGGGTACGGGATATTTTTTTACACGACTTATATTGAATTCGTTTACTGCCTCAGCACCTTTTAATATGTCTATTAGAACTGTATTAAAATATTTTAAATAGAAATATTTCATTTTATAATCACCTTTTATGTCAATATTATAAATTGATGCAGTAATATTTTATATTATACAGATGCATTTATATCATCTCGTTATCTCGCACAGGTTTCAATGCAATATTCGTTGATTGATATACCTGGTTATATTTGTATGAATAGTACACCATTTTTTTTTAATACAACACGCAGTTGTTCGAATACCATATAAACGGTTAGGGTCTAACACAATTTTTTATATTAGAATGCCATTTCAGGGGACATCGATTCGATACAAAGTGGTATATTCCGATCCAAAGTACTTTTACTGATATTTTACATATTCGGTAGGGTGATAGTAAGGGATGAAAAAAAAAGGTCGGATCATTCTACAGAAGTCCTTGATCGATTTGGAGTCAGTCGATTGCAACGCAAGACAGACGAACGGTTAAAAAGATCCCACGGCACGCATCAAGTCGCAATTCCACAACGTTTACCTGCCTAATGCTCCATTATAGAGGACCCATCGATCCCCACTGGCTATTTCTCTGATAAGAAGGATAACGGATATCTGATAGTCATGACAAATAGGCCTCCACCAGCTCCAACTGTCCCAGAGGCCGATTTCTCGCGATAACTCCCAAACGATAGTTCACTGTTATCGAATTCAACCTTTCCTCCAAGTACTCAAATATCTATCCAATACTTAATAAATTTAAGAAAAAAAAGTCCAAATATTCTACACGCCCACAGATGATGAATAGCAAGAAAAATTCGTCAGATGTTCTTCGCGAATATAATTTTTTTGTATACAGCTTATTTTCAACATTCTGCCATACACGTGCCGCTATCATCTCTTCCGTTCAGTATTATTCCAGGCTTAAGGAACCCCTTGAGATCCGGTGCGTACTCAAGCAGCATTCGAGCACGTTCATTGGCTATTTCCTTCCTCCTGAAGTTGTCGAGTTCCTGGTCGTGCCTCGTGCATGCTTGTTTTCGTAAGATCTCAACAGCGTGAAGGGCCCTTCGCTCGGCTATCGCTGCCTTCAGTTCCATGCCGTAGCGAACATCTGAAGTACATGAATGTTAAACGTCTTTTAAAATCTATTGGCTCCTATAATTTAATATACTTTTTTCACGTCGGGCTTCATTCTCCCTGTTATCCTTCTTCAGGGCAGCTTCGTACTCCTCAGCCAACTGTCTAGCATAGCTCCTGTCCATGGCTGCATCATAGTTCCTACGTTCCTCTATCAATTCCTTCTGCATTTCCATGTCCGCCAGCAACTCCATTTTCACACGTTCCTTTTCCAACCATTTGTTCTTCTGCCAATTTGCTTCCTCGGTCCTCATTTTCTCCTCGTAGAGCTCTTTAGCGAATTCTTCGCGTTCTCTCTTCCTGTACACATCGTCAAGAGTTTGTCTAGCCATACGCTCTATCGATTCCTGCTTCGCGGTGTCTGTGTTGGTCTGAAAAAAAATAATTATTTTTCACATGCACTGTACACCTAGATACCTCGCGCACTGAGCACCAGATGCCGACAAAAAATCTTACCTTCACTCTCGCACGCTTCTTCTCCTCTTCTTCCTTTTCAGCAGCCACGCGCCCTATACGAACGTACTCATCCTGTAGACGTGTCTTTTCCTTTTCCTTCCACATTTCTTTGGCCTTGAAAAAAGCATCTCGCTCCCCCATCAAGTGAACGGCCGTTGCTCTCTTCTCTTCTCTCACCTTTTGATTTTCTTCTTCGAGGACTTCATTTACCTCATCGACCAATTTACGTTCCCGCTGACGCTCTTCGTCTCTCTGTTGTCTCATCCAGTAATTGTTCACCAGTTGGTTCTGAAGATCTTCCCTGTACTTCAGTCTCTTCGCCAAGTACTCCTGCTCTTGTTTCCTTTGGAACTCTTCGCTCTGGTACCAATCTCTAATGACCTTTGCTTCCTCTCTCTCTATGCACTTTGCCCTCTCTCGCATGCACTCTTTTTCCTCCAATTGCTTCTGCAACACCTTGGCTACACGAGCGGCACGTAACGCCTCTTGAAGCTGTCGAATTTCGATGGCGTCTCTTCTTAGCAGCTGGAGATGCTTCTGCTTCCGAATATTCGCGTCTAAACGTATTTTCCAGTTGGATACATATAGGGTGACTCGTTGTTACGCATATGGCGGGAAATTTAAATTTATTTAAACGGCCTGGACTAGGACTATATGCTTACTATTAGGGGTCGATGTTCCTTCGATGCATTTTACTGCTCGATCTTGCTCCTTCGCCACTGTAAATTTCTCAGGATTATCTTCCTCACGTTGCTTCACATTCTCACAAGCTTTCTCAAGATCGACCTGCTTCGTTACTTTAAACGTTCCCCTTTCACTTTCCCGTACCATATTTCTTTCCTCGGTCCCTTTGATCCTTTCAGTTTGTGTTTCCCATTCGCCTTTCGAAATTCTCTCTCGCTCCATCTTATTCACTAATATAATCAGTTCGTAGCTTTCTGTTTGCGAATCTCTAAAAGTATTCTGTGTTAATATAATTAACCCTTTGCTTCGCTGAATTTCTTTGTTTTTTCAGCCATCGGTTATCAAGTATCTTTTGAATGTCTGAAAACAAAAAAGTATTACGTATATTACTGGCTTTATCACGTTTCGATTCAATGAGCAAAGGGCTCCGAAGGATTTTACATTTCTACTGTGGCTGTAGAAATTGTTATTAGCGATATGTAGATTACTTGGCAGGAAGTCTTATCGGATTACCTGTATAGCAAAGTTCGAACTTGCGTATATCGTATGACGTTACGAAAGTTGATTAAATATTTTGAATATTTTTTTCGCCATGTATAAATCTATACCATGTATAAAACATGTTAATGCTTTGATATCAAACCAGTACCTTGTACACTTTTTGGATAATTTTTATTTCAAAATATATTTTTATACTGCATTAATCATGGACGTAGATTATAATTAGGGATATAAATGTTCTGGTGATGAATTATTAATGCCGAATGCACTTTCGATAAAATAGAACGTTCGAATTTTAATTTGATTTATAGTAATGAGAAAATATATCTTTTTGTTTGTGTTTATGTGTCGGGTAATATATTTATAATTTCTGGTACTATATCGTAATTGCTATTATCACAACAACCTTGTATAATGGTACTCTCTGTGGGATAATATTGGGGCAATTGCCACTCGTTTAATATAGCGGCAGCATTTACAGAAATGACCCATTAACAATTGCGGTTAGTTACTTAATGATGAAAATGATTCCTCGTTTAAAATTAATGGTAGTTATCAGCTGTAATTAACTTACCTAGAAGTTAACGAAAATGTGTTAAGGGACGGGGATAAAATATTGCACGCGCTGAAAGTTCGTTCGATAAAGCTTAGGTTAAGTAAGAAAAATATAAGTATCCACCGACCTCGGAAAATAGGTTGTACGTCGTAGATAACACTGGCGATAACGAAGATAAGAAGAAAAAAGTATTAAAATTTGACATACATAAAATTTTCTTCGTAACTATATTCAAATTGATGCAACTTCTCATTGATGAATCATTTACTATGTACGTATATACACAGATTCCATATCTAGGCGTTTTTCTTTTTTTTTTTTCCCAGAAACAATACAAATAATATTTTCGAATTCAGGCAATTCAGAAAATAAAATAAATTTTTTCATCTCTCAACCAGACACGTTCCAATAATTTCGTCTGAATGTTACTTGAAAGTATTTCTAAAATAAAAATTGTCAACGCTAGGATGACAGTCGGCGACAAGATTTTCATTCAAGTCGAATATTCGGCGACCATCGGTTACATAGATATTCAACCATTGAAATGTTTTATTAAAGGATGGTGAAAAAAAAAAGAAAGCTGTGTGCTTGCTGTTTTCACACCCTCGTTACCGAGGGGGTAAAGTAAATTGGCCTCTTACTTTAATAGTCGCTTGGTACATTAGTCTACGTTAGGTTGGCAGCAATTTACTCACTGTTATGGTTGGCAATCTTTGCCACTCTTGAAATATCCTTATATATACGGTATACAGTTCTGTGAATTCATAAACTATACATTCCATACAGTACGTATCAGCATCATACAAGACTCTGAAATATCCTTATATATACGGTGTACAGTTCTGTGAATTCATAAACTATACATTCCATACAGTACGTATTAGCATCATACAAGACTCCGTTGCTGCCACCATAATCATTGCCAAAATTCGGACTCTCTTATTAACCCATAATTTTCTTTTCAAACTTACTCTTTTTCGCTACGACGTGTAATTGATCATGAAAACAATTCCCAAGAAGAGGCACTAGAGTCCTATCTCATAGGGTTACAAGTTTTTCCGTTATTGCCAAGCCCCAAGAGAACGCCAGGGTATGTCCGCGTTATACTTATGAATTAAAAAGATAAGTTTCCGAAAGGAAGATGAAATGTATTTTACGAAAATAGGTCAATTTAATATTTCACGAGGAAACGACTCTACGGCGGATTAATTTAATGCATTATTTTGTATATCAGCAATCTTAATACAATTTGTCGGTAAAAATTTATTTCACATTTTTAATAGCCATCAATAATATATGCAATGAGGATAACTAACAGAAATAACTAACAGCTGTATTTCATCCTTAATGTCATTTTAACCAGTAATTCAATTTTTAACGTATGCGATTCTCAATAAAGTCATTAAAATGCAATATACGATTTCAATCGTAAATTAATGTTTGAGACAGTAATTTAAATATATCCACATTCTCTGAGACACACAGAAGTAAATATTAATTTACGGACAGTTTCAATTAATAATTACTAACATTATGAAATTTCATCGATTGACTTAATTTACAATGTTTCCATACAGAATGGATACAAGCTGATTGAGCAAACGGAAGATAATTTAATAATACGTAACGTAACAGTGACGGTGTCTCCTGCGCTCAATACATTTCAAAGTTTGTTCCTGGTTCACTATTCCTAGTTGTCTGAAACGTATGTATTTCCGATAAAATATTCATTCACAACTAACAGTATCATGTTGCATAAAATTCATATTTAGACAGCAAAACACGTGACTTGGCTTACAGATTTGTGCCAAAGCCTTTCCAAGCACGTTTTCAATTAGTCCCAATAGTTGAAGCTGGAGGAATTAAGCAGCAGTTATTCGTACAGTAATTCTCTAACCTGTGTACGATCCTGTAAAACAATATTAATTGATTATTAAACATAGAGCTATATATATATATATAATAGCTATATAATTACACGGTAGTAACATCGAACTGCGGTATGAGACTATTCAACTGAAATTTCTACCAGCTATATGAAACGAATATGTTTCTATTGTTATATATATGTATATAATAAATAAAAAGATTATTAAATGTTTATTGCTATAACGAAAAAATATATTGTAGCCTGGGAAACGTCGATTATGAGATATAAAGTAATAAAATTATTCACGAGTATTTTTATGAAAATATAATAACTCTTTTTCTATTTAACACCGCAGACAACAGTTTTTTTTTTTCTAATTTCTATACATTGACTATGTGCTCTCGTGCGAAAAATCGAATTCGCGATTCGATGGTTGCATTTCACGCCTGAATACCCACATTCGTAGATGTATCGAACTTGAAAAAATTCGCAATATGCATATTGTTTCTAAACAGCAACGTTACAGCCCATTGAGATGGAATTATATTCAGAATATTTTCTTCGTACGCCATGTGTGAATTTGCATGTCTCTTGCATTTGGTTGCATTGAAGATTCGCCTGAAGGTACATCTGTGAATGCAATGAATAGCCATAGCAAATAATGAAACGAGAATGATCCATAGTTTAGACATATTTATGAGTAAAATATAATTCAAATATTTCAAAGAATATTTCAAATTTTTAAGTAAATATTAATTAAGAATTTAAGATAAGATAGAACATGGATTTCTTACGAATCTATCAATATATATATAATGAAGTTATTATATGTATAGTAATAATTTTGAAAAAATAATATATTACGGATTCAATCACTGATACGTAACCTCCTATATGTATAAGTTCGGCAATACTTCTCATTGGTATCTATTGTCAGAAGCAATAACAATGGTAGAACTTATATAAAAATTCTCGCACAATTTCAATATGACTTCAATAGCTATATCAAAGACAATGTTCCTATTGTCTTTAGCCGTAGGTATACTATCTAAGAGACATTGAGAACTTTGATAATATCTTACGTAAGAAAAGTTACTTCTGAGATCCTCGAAATATCCTCCATACCACAATGAGCAATCAGTGATAACATACATAGCATAGGCACGTGTGAAGGTACCGAAAATCAATAGAGCCGTCGTGATAGCAAATTGAAATTGTTGGAAGAGTAGTACAAGCAGATAATGAAAATAAGTAAATATGGGTACAGTAAGTAGTATAGTATAGATGTTATCCCCTCGATCGTGTACTAGCCTATAGAAAATAGATGCTGTGCGGACCAATTCCGTAGTTTCAGTTTCTTTTATACCCAAACCGATTCCTATTAAGTAACTTTGGTCGCCTTTACGACGCATGAGACTTATCGGCTTATCGTCTCAACTCGAACTTACCCTGTCCTTCGTAACCTTCATCCCTGCTTCTTCTTGGTCCTTCCTAGGTAAGGTTCTAATTCGGAGAGACTGTCGAGATCCCTGGACCGGGTATTACACTGTCGTAAACCCCGAAGAGTGGTTCGGTTAGCTAGGGTAAGTACGAGGACAGGTGATGTTGGAAGAATCCTGAATGAAAGGATCGAGTTTCGATATCCTTAAGATGGTGAGTCCTCCCCTAGGTCATCCCCGTTCAACCCTAATTCATCCTGAATTCACCCTCCCGCGGAGCAGCACAACGAGCCAATATACAACCAACCAGGGACGCTTACATTATTGATAAAGGATTACGTTTCCATGACCATGCTGACGTAACATGCCGTCCACTTTTCCTTTTGATCGCAAGATTACGTCCAATCGATCAAATGCTGAAAAATTCTAAAGTTTCATCTGACAACCTTGTGACGTATTCCCAGTTTCCTTGAATCGTTATGTTTCGATATTGAATTATTTCGAAAAAATTTTCATACCCATAATCATTAAATGGAGGTTTTCATATGATAAAAAAAATATTCATTCTCGATGCCAATAAAATGTTGGCATGCTTTCGGATTTTGATATTGCTTCTATAGGAAGCAAATATATTCACTGGTATACTAATCTGAAGGCAGGATATCTTGGATCGTGAATGGATACGATTTATGGTGAGTTCCTGGTCATAGAGGATACGAAAGGTAAGCCATCCCTGCAGATGCTACTCGTGTTATTTACTACACGTTCCATAACCGCATTTCTCACTCGTAGCGAGACTGTGTGCATTCGCATGGTTGTCTAGCTGGGTCTACGTTCTCATTCCATCTCGAGAAGTGTGTTACAGTACTGGGTTCCTGGCATAACTTTAAGATCTATGGAGAAGCGTGTTTCCATGGACCTCCATTATATATTAGATAAACATTGGCCAGTGGGGTATACGTATGATCCTTACCACGTGAATATTCGATAGGAATTTAATTTAATTATTCTTACCCTACCAATGGCCCTCGTAGTAACTCAATCGCAACATCTACGGTTTTATTACGGCATCCAAACGGCTGAGTTAGAATATCAACGAGCGACAATTTTTTTTTCTTCGCAGGAATACGAAGAATTTTCGTTATTCTTAATTTATTTCAAAAGTTAAACGTCTTGTATCGTTACTCTGCCACGGTGTGCAGCATTGTAGTTTTTGCCTCACATTATTACGGTGATTATTCGATAAATCTGGTTCGCAATCGTCACGTCACTTTATTCATTTGTTGTTAAACGCTTTATAATACCCACTTCCTATTTGACGATTTTCATGTAACGATCAAGACCGGCATTTTCGTACGCCTAAGAATAATTCTGCGAAGACTGTATCGAGAAAGAGGCAAGTCCATTATTTCGAAATTGCGTAACACTTTGTATAATAGGAATTCGAGGTAGCACAATGCCTGGTATATATAGAGGTATACGCGATTACTCTCGTGGGAATGACTCTTGTCGCTCTCTTTTGCACGAGCCTTAAATGCAACAAGCGAAACGGTTATTTTTATAAAATTGTTTCCACCTGTAGTGCAGCCAGTGGAGAAGGACTGTTCGGCGGAGGGTGAGATTTCGGTGCATTTGCATATAAAAGAGTCGCGGATTGTCAGAAATATGTCCCTGCCGTGTAATGTCCATTTATTTCAAAACTACCCACACCAACCTGACGCCAACCACCCTCTGTCCATTTAGCACAATCATATATATGTATACAGTCAAGGATGAAAATTTTTCTCCGTAACTTACAGGCAATACTTACTATATTCGAATTAATTAAAATAACAGACCCTGTTTAACGAAGCTCAAGTACAGAATAATTTAATACACCTGTTATCAGCTTGTTTTTCATCCTATCGATCAAGCTAATTAAGAC